TAATAATAATAATAAAGTTGGAAGGGACCTTGGAGGTCATCTAGTCCAACCCCCTGCTCAGGCAGGAAACCCTATACCATTTCAGACAAATGGCTGTCCAGTCTCTTCTTAAAAACTTCCAGTGTTGGAGCATTCACAGCTTCTGGAGGCAGGTTGTTCCACTGGTTAATTGTTCTAACTGTCAGGAAGTTTCTCCTTACTTCTAGGTTGCTTCTCTCTTTGGTCAGTTTCCATCCGTTGCTTCTTGTCATGCCTTCAGGCACTTTGGAGAATAGCTTGACTCCCTCTTCTTTGGGGCAACCCCTGAGATATTGGAACACTGCCATCATGTCCCCCCTCGTCCTTCTCTTCATTAAACTAGACATATCCAATTCCAGCAACTGTTCTTCAAATGTTTTAGCCTCCAGCCCCCTAATCATCTTTGTTGCTCTTCTCTGCACTCTTTCTAGAGTCTCAACATCTTTTTTACGTAATGGTGACCAAAACTGGATGCACTTAATTGAACAGAAAACTCAGTTTTATCCCCAACAAAATGAATTATTACAGGTTTTTAAGGGTTGGTTGTTTTTTTCCAGTAGGATATGGGTTTAAGTTTTGATAGGCAGAAGCTTAGCTTAAGGGGGTTTTGATCTATAAGGTCCTTCAAAGAAGCTGGGCTTGTTAATTTCAAGATGTATTGGCATTGAGATGGCTTCTTCTTTTGTATTCCTTTTGCGGTGTCCAGCTTTTTAAAAAATGTAACAGGAAACCAAGTATGGAGTTACGTTTGCTAGATGTCACTTCTGCGGTGCTTGTATGTGCGTATGTGTGTGGGACTTGAATTAAAGATGGGGGCAGGTCTCTTGTCCCTTCCGTTTGTCTCCCCTTCATCGCCACAGGCAAAAAGGACATCTACTACACCTGTTTGATTCTCACCCCCCATAGCTAATAAAACGGCTTCTGCCCCATTTTCATAGAAAGGATTTGTTTTCCTTCGTCCCTGGAATTTGAGCCATCCAATTGTGAGAAGGACAGCTACTGAAGCTGAAGCTCAGATCTTTTGGCCACAAATGAGAAGAGAAGACTCACTGGAAAAGACCCTGATGTTGGGAAAGATTGAAGGCGAAAGGAGAAGGGGATAGTGGTTAGATAGTGTCATCAATGCAGTAGTCTTGAATTTGGGCAAACTCTGGGAGACAGTGGAGGACGGTGGGCGGGGGGGACACTGGCGTGCTATGGTCCATGGGATTCACGAAAAGCCGGACACAACTTAGCCACTGAACAACAACAAAAAACAATTGCTAAATGGGAGAGGTAGCAGTTCCCGTTAAATCCATCAAAGCTTGCAGTTTCTGTTCTCAAGAGAGAGTTGCACATGTCTCGGGATTAGTCTTAGAAACAACACCCCTGTGCTCCGTGGTACCAACCAGGAGCTCTCATGTCTGGAGAGAGTTGTTTTTGTATATGGCTCACCCCAGACACCCCAGAAGTTTTTGTCCTGCCCTTAAGTCATGCCCGAAGATTTGTTGTTATTGTTAGTTGCGAAGTTGTGTCCGACCCATCGCAACCCCATGGACAACATTCCTCCAGGCCTTCCTGTCCTCTACCATCTTCTGGAGTCCATTTAAGATCATGCCTACTGCTTCAGTGACTCCATTCAGCCACCTCCTTCTCTGTCGTCCCCTTCTTCTATTGCCCTCAATCTTTCCCAGCTTTAGGCTATTCTCCAGTGAGTCCTTCCTTCTCATTAGGTGGCTAAAGTACTTGAGTTTCAACTTCAGGATCTGGCCTTCTAAAGAGCAGTTGGGGTTGATCTCCTCTAGGACTGACCGGTTTGATCGCTTTGTAGTCCAGGGGACTTGCAGGAGTCTTCTCCAGCACCATAGTTCAAAGGCCTCAATTCTTTTGCACTCAGCCTTTCTGCCCGAAGATAGCTGTCTTTTATAAGCAGAGAATAGCTTCTTATTTGTGTGGCCGGTTTCAAATATTAGGGCTTTTTCAGAGTGCCGCTTAATTTGGATGCAATCCTATGCAAGTCTGTGCATGGACGTGTTTAATTTAAAATCCCCTTTAAAAGCTCCAAATCTGGTTTTGTTCCTCCCCCCCCCCCAAATCCTCCCGAAGTCTTGCTTGCACTTCAAAAAACTGATTAATTGAGTTTCTTTAAATTAATCAGTTCCTTGGAAGTTCAGGCTGCCTGAATTGAAGCTTTTGTTTGCTTAATTAAGAACCAGCTGCTTTGGCTCTAATGAACTCACAGCTGTCTGGCTGCTGTTGCATACTGAGCTTCCCTTGTCTATCTTAATGGGCCTGTGCATTTTTTGTTTCTTGTTTTTTGTTTGAAGAGAAAGCATATTGCCAGTGGTTTGCTAATGTCCAAAGAATCTTAAGGATATACAAATCACCTTTAAGCAGGGCCATTCAGGATTTATTTAGCTACTAAATGAATCCCAACCAATCAGCCATGAAAGAGGGAATTCATTTTATTATACAATTAACAAATTGGCAAGACTTCAAATACCAGAGGGAACATGAAATACTGATTTTTCTCTCTTGACAAATTAATTCCTCTTTCATAGTGTAAAAAGTTGTTTGTCTGGACATTTCTGCGTACATATATAGTCCAATCATGCCTTTTGGGATAAGGAACATTAGGCAGAGCAGAGAAAAGACACATGGTCATCCACAAACACACACAACAAGACACACTATAAGGACAATTTAATGTTTTAATGTTTTAATTTTGTAAGCCACCCAGAGTCTCCTCGTGGTGAGATGGGCAGCAAATAAATTTAATAAAATAAATAATTGGGGATTTTTTAAAAAAAAGAACAGAACGAAATATAAAAACAGTTTGCACCAACACTGTTCAGTATTCCTCTTTATACCTTTCTATATTGCAGAAGAGTTCATTGCCTTTAATTTTTTTTTTTAACTCATCACCTCATGAGGATCTTACCACCATCTGATCACAACTTTCTCAGTATTTCCCCTCTTGGCCCATTCGCTCCTCCATATATATTTTACTCACTTCATCACTTTCTGAAAAAGCACTACAATATACTCTTTTCATACTGATCGCTCGCTTTTGTACTTAATCTTTATGTAGTAGTGAATTGTTCTGAACCGTGTCTTCCATTGCCATTGTATTTCGTTTTTTTCTTGGCATATACTAGTGTCACATATATCAAAGTGGTCAGAATGATTTCTTTTATGTACATGCTCACTGACCTTATAACAGAGTAACAGAACGACAGAATAACAAAGTTGGATGGGAGCCCCCGCTCAAGCAGGAGACCCTATACCATTTCAGACAAGTGGCTGTCCAATCTCTTCTTAAAAACCTCCAGTGATGGAGCANAGACCCCTGCCATAAAATCTTGAAGCTGGTCCCATTCCATCTATATTTCATTTTTATTAAATTTCTACACTACCCACCTGCTATTTAAGTGACTCTGGGTGGTTAACAACAACATATTAAAACAATATAAGCACCTGAATGAAAGCACAGTTTAAAAAGAAATTTAAGAACAAGTTAAAATTAACAAGTAAAAATCAAAATTGAAAATTCAGAAGACAAAGTTGGTGCACAGCTCAATCTGAATCAATTGGATTCACATTTTCTTCTCCGGATTACACATTAATGACGTAATTGCTTTTAAATGCCCCATTAATCTATTCTTAAAGCTCAAGGTGTCCTACTCCATTTACAGTAGTCCTCAACTTACAACTGGTCCCTTAATCACTGAAGTTATAACCAAACACCCCAGAGATACTTACAACAAGTTTTTGGAGTTATGATTGCTGCCAAATATCTGGTCATGTGATATCTCAACTTACGACCACAACAATTGCAGTTTTGGGCTCAATTACGGTTGTAAGTTGAGGACTACTTGTAACAATGTGAGTGGATGTTGTTTATAAATGTATTGACTATTACTTTAAACGTTATTTTAAAATGTAATTTTAAAAGACCCTCTCTTTTTCTTCCCTCCCCCCCCCACATTCTCTCCTCCATTTTTTAAATCAACACAGTCTCGATCTAGACAAGAAGATCCAGAGCAACTTAGGTTGAAACAAAAGGCCAAGGAGGTATGTTTAAACCATATTTACCATTTTGGAACAGAATATACATTCAGCTACGTATGTAAAAGTGATTGCATTAAAAAAAAAGCATAAATGAGAATAAAAACTGCAAGGAAATAACAGCAATTTTGTTTTGCCAAACCCAGATGCAACAACAAGAACTAGCACAAATGCGACAGAGGGATGCTAACTTGACTGCGTTGGCTGCAATAGGACCCAGAAGAAAAAGGAAACTGGATTCTCCAGGGTCTGGATCAGGGACAGAGGTATGAGAGAAGAATTCTCTTTGGAAACACCTGCACCCTTCCAAATCCTACTTTCAGGAGTTCAAGTCCATCTTTCTACCTTTAATAATAATAATAATAATAATAATAATAATAATAATAATAATAATAATAATAATAATAATAATAATAATAATAATAATAATAATAATAATAATAATAATAATAATAAAGTTGGAAGGGACCTTGGAGGTCATCTAGTCCAACCCCTGCTCAGGCAGGAAACCCTATACCATTTCAGACAAGTTTCTGGAGGCAGGTTGTTCCACTGATTAATTGTTCTAACTGTCAGGAACTTTCTCCTTAGTTCTAGGTTGCTTCTCTCTTTGGTTAGTTTCCACCCGTTGCTTCTTGTCCTGCCTTCAGGCGCTTTGGAGAATAGCTTGACTCCCTCTTCTCTGTGGCAGCCCCTGAGATATTGGAATACTGCTATCATGTCCCCCCTCGTCCTTCTCTTCATTAAACTAGGCATACCCAATTCCAGCAACTGTTCCTCATATGTTTTAGCCTCCAGCCCCCTAATCATCTTTGTTGCTTTTCTCTGTACTCTTTCCACAGTCTCAACATCTTTTTTACATCGTGGTGACCAAAACTGGATGCACTTAATTGAACAGAAAACTCAGTTTTATCCCAAACAAAATGAATTATTACAGGTTTTAAAATGGGTTGGCCATTTTTTTCCCAGTAGGATGTGGGTTTAAGTTTTGATAGGCAGAAGCTTAGCTTAAGGGGTTTTTGACCTGTAAGGTCCTTGAAAGAAGCTGGCCTTGATAATTTCAAGATGTATCGGCATTGAGATGGCTTCTTCTTTTGTATTCCTTTTGCAGTGTCCAGCTTTTTAAAAAAATGTAACAGGAAACCAAGTATGGAGTTACGTTTGCTACATGTCACTTCTGCGATGCTTGTATGTGCGTATGTGTGTGGGACTTGAATTAAAGATGGGGGCAGTTTTCTTGTCCCTTCCGTTTGTCTCCCCTTCAGCGCCACAGGCAAAAAGGACATCTACTACACCTGTTTGATTCCCACCCCCCATAGCTAATAAAACGGCTTCTGCCCCATTTTCATAGAAAGGATTTGTTTTCCTTCGTCCCTGGAATTTGAGCTATCCAATTGTGAGAAGGACAGCTACTGAAGCTGAAGCTCAGATCTTTTGGCCACAAATGAGAAGAGAAGACTCACTGGAAAAGACCCTGATGTTGGGAAAGATTGAAGGCGAAAGGAGAAGGGGATAGTGGTTAGATAGTGTCATCAATGCAGTAGTCTTGAATTTGGGCAAACTCTGGGAGACAGTGGAGGACGGTGGGCGGGGGGGACACTGGCGTGCTATGGTCCATGGGATTCACGAAAAGCCGGACACAATTTAGCCACTGAACAACAACAAAAAACAATTGCTAAATGGGAGAGGTAGCAGTTCCCGTTAAATCCATCAAAGCTTGCAGTTTCTGTTCTCAAGAGAGAGTTGCACATGTCTCGGGATTAGTCTTAGAAACAACACCCCTGTGCTCCGTGGTACCAACCAGGAGCTTGCATGTCTGGAGAGAGTTGTTTTTGTATATGGCTCACCCCAGACACCCCAGAAGTTTTTGTCCTGCCCTTAAGTCATGCCTGAAGATTTGTTGTTATTGTTAGTTGCGAAATTGTGTACGACCCATCGCAACCCCATGGACAACATTCCTCCAGGCCTTCCTGTCCTCTACTATCTTCCGGAGTCCATTTAAGCTCACGCCTACTGTTTCAGTGACTCCATCCAGCCACCTCATTCTCTGTCGTCCCCTTCTTCTATTGCCCTCAATCTTTCCCAGCATCAGGCTCTTCTCCAGTGAGTCCTTCCTTCTCATTAGGTGGCCAAAGTACTTGAGTTTCAACTTCAGGATCTGGCCTTCTAAAGAGCAGTCAGGGTTGATCTCCTCTAGGACCGACCGGTTTGATCGCTTTGTAGTCCAGGGGACTCGCAGGAGTCTTCTCCAGCACCATAGTTCAAAGGCCTCCATTCTTTGGCACTCAGCCTTTCTGCCCGAAGATAGCTGTCTTTTAAGCAGAGAATAGCTTCTTATTTGTGTGGCCGGTTTCAAATATTAGGGCTTTTTCAGAGTGCTGCTTAATTTGGATGCAATCCTATGCAAGTCTGTGCATGGACGTGTTTAATTTAAAATCCCTTTTAAAAGCTCCAAATCTGGTTTTGTTCCTTCCCCCCCCCCCATCCTCCCGAAGTCTTGCTTGCACTTCAAAAAACTGATTAATTGAGTTTCTTTAAATTAATCAGTTCCTTGGAAGTTCAGGCTGCCTGAATTGAAGCTTTTGTTTGCTTAATTAAGAACCAGCTGCTTTGGCTCTAATGAACTCACAGCTGTCTGGCTGCTGTTGCATACTGAGCTTCCCTTGTCTATCTTAATGGGCCTGTGCATTTTTTGTTTCTTGTTTTTTGTTTGAAGAGAAAGCATATTGCCAGTGGTTTGCTAATGTCCAAAGAATCTTAAGGATATACAAATCACCTTTAAGCAGGGCCATTCAGGATTTATTTAGCTACTAAATGAATCCCAACCAATCAGCCACGAAAGAGGGAATCCATTTTATTATACAATTAACAAATTGGCAAGATTTCAAATACCAGAGGGAACATGAAATACTGATTTTTCTCTCTTGACAAATTAATTCCTCTTTCGTAGTGTAAAAAGTTGTTTGTCTGGACATTTCTGCGTACATATATAGTCCAATCATGCCTTTTGGGATAAGGAACATTAGGCAGAGCAGAGAAAAGACACATGGTCATCCACAAACACACACAACAAGACACACAATGAGGACAATTTTATGTTTTAATGTATTAATTTTGTAAGCCGCCCAGAGTCTCCTCGTGGCGAGATGGGCAGAAAATAAATTTAATAAAATAAATAATTGGGGATTTTTTTTGAAAAAGAACAGAACGAAATATAAAAATAGTTTGCATCTCTTCATACCTTTCTATATTGCAGAAGAATTTTGCTCCATACATTCATTGCCTTTAATTTTTTTTTAACTCATCACCTCATGAGGATCTTACCACCATCTGATCACAACTTTCTCAGTATTTCCCCTCTTGGCCCATTCGCTCCTCCATATATATTTTACTCACTTCATCACTTTCTGAAAAAGCACTACAATATACTCTTTTCATACTGATCGCTCGCTTTTGTACTTAATCTTTATGTAGTAGTGAATTGTTCTGAACCGTGTCTTCCATTGCAATTGTATTTCGTTTTTTCCTTGGCATATACTAGTGTCACATATATCAAAGTGGTCAGAATGATTTCTTTTATGTACATGCTCACTGACCTTATAACAGAGTAACAGAACGACAGAATAACAAAGTTGGATGGGAGCCCCCGCTCAAGCAGGAGACCCTATACCATTTCAGACAAGTGGCTGTCCAATCTCTTCTTAAAAACCTCCAGTGATGGAGCA